TTTCTAAACCAAAGACTTGCAACAATCAGAAGAGCATTTATTTAAAAAAGAAAAAAACAAATAAAACTTTCTGAATCAAAGTAGAACAGCAGGGTTTACAGTTTTCTAAATTAAACTACTCCAATCTCCTTTATCCCAGCTCCATGATAGTCATGAAAACCAGCATCCTTGAAAGAACAGATCGTCTTTGGAATTTCTCGAACAGCCCCATTCCCGCAGTATTGCCAGTCTTTGACCGGTCTCGTAGTTCTTGGAAGCTACATTCATTGAATGGTGTTGTTATTGACCTGACTCAGAGCTCCGCAGGAAAAGCCCAACCCCAGGTTGTTTCTGAGCAAACTCTGCATCAACTGTTTAATATGACAGCATCCTGAGGCTGCAATACCAGTTGTGACAAACGAGAGCCTGTAGGGGGATTTGAAAATCTCTGACACGTTCCTGGGAAGCCGAGAAGAATGCACAGATATGCAGGACTGTTCACATGCCCAGGAAAGGGCAGCGGAGGCACCAGTTCCTCACATCTGAAGAACACTCAGGTCAGACAAAAGCAGGAAGTGAAGGCTAAGGCGCAGTTGTCATAGTCTCTGAGTGCTGACGGCCCAACACAAATGCATCTCCTCAGCACAAGGCAGAAAATGTATTGGGTGAAGCAATTTAAGGAAATCTTTGACCAGTCATTAATCATAAAGTAACTCAGCAATGACTTCAGTGGCTGCACACTACAGGGAACACTAACTTTACAAAATTATTCCAGGAAACTCTTTAAACAAATGAATAGAAGCAGCTGCTAAACAATTTAAAAATCAGCAATAATAACAAACTTTGGGTGTGTAGGGGGGGCATCTGATTTCTATAGTTGAACACTGTGCCACCTAATGTCCAAGTTTCAAGAAAGTGTGAAACATATAAAGAAACAAAAAGTATGACTCACACGTAGGAAAAAAAACTGCCAATACAAATTGTTCCAGAAGCGTCCAGATGCCAGACTTACTAGATAGACTTTAATCTGGCTACTATTATTAGTATGTCCAAGCTACTGAAAAATACTACATCTAAAGAGCTAAAGAAAAATATGACAGTAATGTCTTACCAAGTAGAGCGTATCAATAAAATGACAGAAATAATCAAATTGATTTCTTCAGGAAGCACACCAACATATACACAATTGGAGTCTTAGAGAAGAGAGAGATGGTGGGTAAGACTATTTTCCAGATGTGATGAAAAGCATTAATCTATTTGAGTCCAATAAACTCAAACAACTAAAACAAAGATATACATCTGGGTCCATCACGCTTAAAATTATAGAAAGTCAAGTACAAAGAGAGAATATTGAAAGCTAAAGGTCTCGTTACATACAAAGGATCTTCATTAAGAGTAAAATTAGCTCTCGAACGCATATAGGCCAGAAGGCAGTGGGATGACATACTGAACATACTAAAAGAGTAAGGCTGACTACGGGTTCCACACACTTATAATCCCAGCTACTGTGAGGTGGAGATCAGGATCATGATTCGAGTCCAGCTTGAGCAAAAAGTTAGTGAGACTCAATCTCAATGAATAAATCGGCATGGTGGTACACTGCTGTAATTCCAGCTACATAGGAGGGGTTGGCCCAGGAAAAAAGCACAAAACCCTATTTGAAAAACAAACTAAAGCAGAAAGGGCTGGGAGTGTGACTCAAGTGGTGGAGCACCTGCCTAGCAAGTATGAGGCCCTGAGTTCAAACCCCAGTACCACCAAAAAAAGTGAAGAAGAAATGAAGACATTTACAGAAGTCAAAACTAAGACAATCCATAACCATACCTGCCTTACAAATTAAAAAAGGCTGAAAGGAATCCTTCAGGCTGAAATAAAAGAACCTGGACAATAACTCAAATCCGCATTAGGAAGTAAGGAATGGCATTAAAGTAAATAATACAGGTAAACATAACACTATATAGGTAATTTTTTTTTTACAACACACAGGTAGTTTGGGCTTGCAACTTCTCTTTTTTCCTTGCCTAATTTTTTAAAAACTGCATAAAATAATGACTATAAATCAGTAAAAAGAAGTCATAGACCTAAGTGTAAAATTTAAAACTATTAGATATCCAAAAGGAAATAGAAGAAAAACTTGTGGCCTAGGATCAGGCAAAGAATATTTAGATATAAAACTAAAATCACAATTCATACAAGAAATGAAAAGGATAAAGTAGACTTCATCAAAATTAAGAATTGTATATTTTGAAAGATGCTATAAGCCAACAAAAAGACAAGCCACGGACTAAAAGTAAACATATAAAATCACCTGTGGATAAAGGTTCTGCATTCAGAATATATAAAGAATTTTCAAGAATTCTTTATAATAATTCAGTAATTCTCAATAATAAGAAAACAAGTAACTCAATAAAAACAGGCAAAAGATTTGGAAATTTCACCAAAGGAGATGATATGGATGGCATATAAGCACATGAAAAGCAGCTCAATATCAGTAGCAAGATTCAAATTAAGGCCACACTCAGATACCACTGTACATCTATCACAAGGAGAAAAATGAAGAAGATTGACTGAGTGAGTGGTGATGAGGCTATGGAGGCGCTGGACTCTCCTAGTTGCTGAGAAGAATATACAATGGTGCAACTTACAAGCCTCTGGCATTTTCTGAAAAAGTTAAATATACATTTCTCAAATGACCTAGCCATTCTATTCCCGAGTATTTATACAACAGTCATGAAAGCAGATGTCCACTCAAAACCTCCTTCATAACACCTTTATTTTAAATTGTCAAAAACTAGAAATAGCCAAATTATCCACCAACAGTTCAATGGATAAATAAATTGTGATGTAGCCATACAATATATTACTACTAAATAACAAAATAATTACCCATTAATATGTACAACAGCATAACAATTAAACATAGTGAAAGAAATCAGACCCCTCTTCCTTAAAAGGAGCACAAATTGCATAATCCTATTTATTTAAAATTATAGAGGACACAACCAATCCATAGTGACAGAAAGCGTATAAGTGGTTGCCTGGGGATGCGAGGGAAGGGGAGGATGGGAAAGAGGGAAACTAGAGAGCAATGGATCTGTTTACTATCTTGGCTATGATTGAAGATGGGTTCAGGATTACATATGTGTATCACCACTTTAAATTGAACATCTGAAATGTGTGTGGTTTATTTTATGTCAGTTATTCTTCAATAAAGCTGTTAAAAATAGTACTGAAATAGAAGTGGCTAAGAACTTAGAATAGTACCTGCTCAGAGTGAGGACACATAAATATTTAGTTATTAAGAACAGTAATACAATAATGTGATAAAAGCAAAAAACAGTAAGTCCTCAGCTAGATATACTCTTCTATTCTTCTGAGGTTTGTCCTGCTCCATCAAAATAGTTCTGACCAAAGGTGACCCATGACTTTTAAGTGGAAAAACCAAAGAATCAGCTCTCAGACATCTTCTCATGATGTATCTGCATTTGACAAGGTCAGTTATCATTCTCTCACCCTTAGGCACTTCCTTCACTTGTCATTCAAGATGCTTGCCTGGTTCCCTAAGGCTAGTCTTTTGCTGGTTCTCTGGCTGGTGAAACTTGACCATCACCTTTGAAGGGATTCACGGCTCAGTCCTTGAAGTTGTTATCAAGTGTGTTAGAAAACTAACCACTCAATGACCTCTCATGGTTCTCATACCAGCTGCAAACTGAGGTCTCTAATTTTATATCTCCAACTGAGACCTGTCCCTCAGACCTGTACTTGTCAATGTCACCATTTGGACAACCAAGAGTCAGCTAAACTTAACATGTCCAGAGTGAAGGTCTGCTCTCTCCCACCCCATCAATGGCAGTTCCACCTCATGTTAGCTCAGGGCAAACCCTTGGAGTTTTCCTTAATTCAGCTTTCCCTCAGGTTTCAGATCCAATCCATCTGCAAATCTCTGTTGGCTCTATCCTCAAAAAATATCCAAAACTTGACTGCTTCTCCCTTCTCCCTACCACCTTCGGACAAGGCATCAGCATTTCCTGTGTAGAACAAGACACCAGGATGACTTGCATAGATTATCACAATGGCCTCACCTGGCATCTCTGTCTTTGTCTCCCTAGCTCCAAATGTAAATCACATCACCTCTCTGCAATCTTCCCATCTCAGTCAGACTACAAGTCAAGATCCTCAGAAAACTCTGCAAGGTTCTATCCAATCCCTCCACTATCACCCTATTTACCAAATGACCTCAGCTCTTACGACTTCCCTCCTCTCTTATGATGTTAGGTTATTTTAGTGCCTGTAATATTCCAGATACTCTTAGCCTCAGGGCCTTTGCACATACTGTCCAAGATATTTCTCCCCTTCAGTCTTGTGTCCATATAGTTTCCTCCCTCCCCTCCTTCAGGTTCAACTCAAAAGTCCTCTTCTCATTGAGAACTTTTCTGGCCATACTATATCTCTCCCCTTGGAGGAATGTAAACCCCTCCGTAGGCAGATATTTCTATCTGGATTATTCATTGCTGTATCGCCAGTGATTAGTACCTGGCACAAAGTAGGTGCCTAATAAATGTGTAGTAAGGGATGGAGAAGGGTAACAAGAAAATGAAGAAACAGAAAGGGAAATTTAAAAAAAACTGTGTCTTGAAAGTTTCTGGTTGTGAGTTCCTGAAGACTGTATAACCTCTCCTCCAAAGAAAGACAAGATTCCCTTTATACAGTCCATCCACAACACAGTGGGAAGAGGCCTGGCCTGGACATTGGACATGGACTTGTGCTCTTCCCCACAGCTAGCTACATGATACTGGGATTTTAATCTCATTGTTCTCCATTTCCCAATGCGTAAGTGACAGAACAAGAGGTAAAGATGCTGAAGAGAACTTCCAGCTACATAGTTCTAATACCAGGAGGTTCTTGTGTCCTGGGAGTCAACAGAAACTGGGAAGAAGACAACTATGTTAGGGAAGGTACATAATGCATTCTAAATCAGAGCTGTCTTAGCAAACAAGAACAGAAGAAAGTGTTTAACTTACCAGCCTCCAAAGAAATCAGTAGAACTATGAAACAAGCAAGTCTGAGTAACACTTTCATATTCTCCTGGAGAAGTGGAGGGAAGGAAAAATGTTACTATTCCAGAAATCACTAAATACACTCAAGTCCTACCTGTCCCCACCCTCAACCCCAAGTCACCCTGCTGGTCTGGTCTTCCTACATCATTCATGTGATCACATTGGGCTTCTGGTTAGAAAATACGGGGAAGGGGAGGTGAAGATTTTTTAAACAGAATTGTGGACAAACTTGATAACTTAAGATTTCAAGTGTCTATCATCTGTCCCAATATACATTTTTAGTCTTGCATCCCACTTAAATCCCCCCAAATCTACTCTATGTCCAAAGTAGCTACAGGCAGCTCTACACATCCATAGATTCTGCAGATTCAACAAACCATAGTTCTAAATATTTGAAAAAAATTGCATCTGTACTGAACATGTGCAGACAATTTTCTTGTCATCATTCCTTAGACAATACGGTATTACTCACATAGCATTGCATTGTATCGATTATGATAAGTCATCTGGAAATAAAGTATATGGGAGCATGCTCATAGGCTGTATGGAAATACTACGCCACTTTATACAAAGGACTTCAGTATCCATGGATTTTGGATTTGGTAGGGGCTCTGGAATCAATCTCCCATGGGTATAAGGGACAGTTGTATTCACTAGACCTAAACCAGCTTGCCTCTGCTTGTGTGGATTTGTTCTCCACCCCACCCCTGGAATGTACCCTGCTGCCGGGACCTACTTGCAAAAGTCTTCCCATACTTCTAGATCAATTCAAAAGTCATTTTATAATGCAAGGTTTGAAATTGCTTGTACAGTGAAGTATAGTACCTAGGAATGTACCAAGAGAGAAACTGTTGGGTCTGGGAACCTAAAGGACAGATGAGTGAGTCAGTATCCCATCCCCCATGGACAGCACTATGAGCCCTCCCTGCTGAGGAGGAGTTATAAATCTGCATTCCTGCTTCGTGAGGAGGAGATACATGGTCTCATAAATCTGCCATGGGGCTAAAAGATAGGATGCTCTCAAGGTTGTTTCCCCCCAATAAGGGGCAAACAGACCACCTCATCAAAGAGAACCCATGTCTGCAAATCCACAGCCAATGGAAAGAACCCATCTACCAAACCCTTACCCTAACCCAGAGTTAAAGCATCCATAAAAAGCCCCAGCCTTCACCTAAGCAGGGAGTCACCAGTTTCCAGACTCCACAGCAGTGCTCTAGCTGCAGCCTATTCTTTCTCTAGTAAAACTACTTTGTGTGCCGACCTTGTCTCACGAGTCAATCCACTGCCTCATGAGCCAATTCTTTGGCATGTGGAGGCAAGAACCCTCGACACCAGCTCGCAAAAAATCATGACAGTATACTAATTGAGTTGGTTCTTGTGGCTTGGGTTTCCCCTTCTCTAAGGCTTTTTAAATGTCCCAAAAGTTCTTAATGAGCATGTGTGAATCTTTTCACAAAGGAAAAAAAGAAAAAAGTGCACTGCCCAAAGTACTTTTGAAGGCCACAGCAACACAGCACCAGCTACAACACATTGTTGGTTACTGACTAGGTTACATATTCAACTGATGACTTATTGTTTTAATTAGATAAGGCTTTGTTCACATACATGGCAGGGGTGTGACCAGATTAAGTACTTGCCTAAGATAGCAAGTGCAGAAGGAAAATACACCCATTGCTATATCTACAAAATGCAGACACTAAATTAATTAATGTGAAAGAAAACACCTCGCTTTGGCCTTCCTTCTAGTCCGCTCAAGCCCAAATGAAGTCAATGTTCTTTACACTCTCTGAACACTTCCACTGAAGGATCATGAATGGGGACCTTACAGTGACATGCAGTAAGTTCCAGTCTCACATCTCCAGCTAGCCTTCACACAAATCCACTCACAAGTCCATGAGTACTTCACCTTAAGAGGCTCTAAAGCTAAACTCATTCCTGCCCCACCAAATTTATATTCCCCAGTTCTCCCTACCTTGGTGACAGGCACAGCACAGCTCCAAACCTACTAGGTATGCACTAAAAGAGACCAGATCTATGATCCTGAGGCTGCCACCACCCCAGCTACTGTCTCCCCAGGCCCTAAGCAGTCTGTGGCCTTAGAGCACCAAGCCTACCCAGTTCACTCCCGGCCACTTTTGGTATACAGTAGCTCAAGCCCTCTCTAACTCTCAGCAACAACAACCGGCTCATCAGTCTCTCTGCCTATGGATTTGCACCTTCCAACCAATACAGAGAGCTGAAAAACTGTCAGTCACAAGATGAACTGCTCAAAACATCTTCACTGGCTCCCTAGTGCACCCAGAAGTAGTCCAAGCTCCCTAGCACAGCATACAGGAGCCTTATGCAGGCTCTGCCTTGCCTCTCCAGCTCCCCCTTTGCTCCCTCAACTCACTCCAGACCTTGCCATATGCTGCAGCCTCTTTGCCTTGGGCTTCACCATTCCCTCCGCCCTTCACCTGGCTCTTTCCACTGCATCAGGTCTCAGAGCCCCCACTACACAAGGCCTCCCAGACTCCTGACCAGCCTGCTTCCTGTGGGCCTCCCCAGCAATCTATATGCCAGAATAGCCACAGTCCTATATTGCATTTACCCCAGGGAAGGGAACCTCATGAGGGCAAGAACCAAGCCCTGCTCATCTCTGTCCACTCAGCATCTAGCAACTGTGCTTCAAAACCTAGCAGCCCTTAGTAAAGTCTCACAGAATTAATGGAAAAAAATCAACAAAAGAAACAGCCATTCCTGCCACTCAACTTTGGGATAATGTCTAGAGCAGACCACATAATTCTTTGCTCTGAAAATAATCTTGTCTTTTAAATTTTTCAGGAAGTTCAATTTGCCTACATTCTTATCTGCAGCTATAAGTAAATATGCAAACACACAATATTTTAAAGACAACGCTCCTTCAGACCAGAAACTAAAGATTAGCTGGGAAAATGTCCTATTTAAGAAATTGTATTAAAAGGCATAAAAATGTTACAACATTTTTTTAAAACAAAGACTAGGAGGAAAAGTAAGTATGTGAGACACACCCACTCAGCATCCCAGCACTTTACCCCTAAGCCTGGCTAAAGCCTTGAATCTGCCCAAAGTAGTAAAACTGCATTCCTTAAATAGCCGGTAAATCTGATGCTTTATTCACAGAAATTGGCCACCCCCCAAATTCGTCTAAATTAATAGTATTATTATCATATTTACTATAAACTATATCCGAGTTATGAAATAAGATAGAAGGCTTTGAAGTCTTGTAGCTTGGCTTGTGACCTCTTTCTGTGAAGAAAGAGGAGTGGGAATGTTAGCTACACTAGTTGACCAATGACAAAATAAAGGCATTATGAAATAAATCATGTGAGCACCGCTGGCTGCCAGTTCACTTAGGTACAAGGTTGGGCTTGTTTGATTTTTAGGCTGGGCAGAAGAGAGGAAGATGTCAGACTGACTTTTATAGAGTATGTGTCAAGGTACAATTCCAGATCAATTGCAGACAAACAATCCTTAATCATTGTATGTCCATAGCTATTGGTTTCTACCACAGGGCATTATGATCTTGGACATGACACCTCCCTGGGCCTCGGTTTCCTCATCCGCATAGGGTAGACATTGCAGCAGATGATCTCAGGCCACTTGCTGCTCTAATAGCTTATAGAACAGGGTGCCAGGTTTTACTTCTGGCCCAACACTGCTTTAGAAAAAAGCAGGAGGAGGGAGTAGCTCCTTCCCCTCAGTAGCAGCCTTTCTGAACCCATATTTGTTCCAAGGCCTTGGGGTAAGGGCCCCAGGCCCCAGGCCCCTGGGGTAAGCACTGAGCTGGGGAGTGTGGACATCAGAAGGGGAGAGGTAAAGAAGGCACTCAAGACTAAATCAAACATGTTCCCAATAAAAATTACATGCCTATAATCCCAGCACTTGGGAAGAAGAGGCAAGAGAACCATGAGTTCAAGGCCACTTGAGCTATATATCAACATCCTGTCTCAATACCCACTCCCAAATCAACACAAACCCCACGATGTCCTCAATAACACAGAAATGCCACGGTGGAGCTGATGCAGACTGGATTCCATATAGCCAGTAGTAGACAGGCTTTCCAAATCAGGAAGTCCATACACACAGACAGCATGTTAGGTAAAAGTTCAGCCTCTGTGCCTCAGGTCCCCCATATGACCAAATGGGGATGATGACAATACTCGTTATTGACCGTTACTATGAAGATGAGTTGCCACACCAGAAGGGCTCAGAACAGCGTCAGGCACTGGTCTCTCTCTAATGTTAATGATTATAAATCACCAAGAGCCTGGAGAACAAATACAAGTTTTGATAAAATGGTTTCCATCACCCACTATTCACTCACTGCCCCACTGACCAACTGAATACTGAATATCTACTACATACCAGTGCACTTGGCCTTGGGAATAAAAACAGGAAGAGTGACTCGGGCCTGGCTCAGGTTGCTCACTGGCCTTGGGGAAAGTGGGCACGTTCAGTTATACTGTGGTATGGAGTGTCTGCAGGCGGAGACATGCCCCAGGTGAAGGAAGATGGGGCGCTGACTTGGCCTGGAGGAGGGGCAGGGGCAGCATGTGTTCATGCTGAGGAGCACACCTGCAATTTGCAGGTGGTAGAAAAAACTGCTTAAAGGTTTTCCCTCATGGAGTGGGGTAGGGCTAGATTTTCATTTTTTGCAGAGATTTTGACACTTGTGTGGAATAAAAGGTGGCAACAAGAGGGAGTCAGAGATAGGAGGTTGTGGTGGAGATCTGATGGAAGAACAAGGGTTGGGCCAGACAGCAGGGAAAGGCAAGGAAGTGGAGGAGGTGAGCTATGGTGGAGGAGGGGAGGCTGAGGCCCTGGTTCCCTGAGTTGGGCCAGAGAGTGGATAGGAGGGCAGGGTCAGGACCACAGATGATCAGAGGGTATCACATGCAGCATAGCCAGGCCAGGGTCTCCTGGGATGTGAACAGTGGTCTTGTGTCCAGCAGAAATTGAGAATTTGAGCATGCAGTTAAAGGAGAAGTGGGGATGGACAGCAGGGACTGGGATGGCTGGAACTGGGAAGACCTCCAACCCCACCTTGGGAACTGTCAGCTCACAGTCACAACTGCAGCATTGTTCAGGTGACCTGGCAAAGTTGGCAGGCACAGCTCTCAGTGGGGTCCCAGACTACTTCAAAAATCTGATAAATCCTCCCTCTGTCCCTTTACCCCTTCCCTTCCTAGCCTCTAGTCCCCTTTCCTACTCTTCTCTGAAATCAGCTTTTCTTAGCTGTCATATATGAACAAGATCGTGAGGTACTTGTCTTTTTTGTGCCTGGCTCATTTCACTTAATATCACGTCCTCCAGTTCCATCCATGTCGCAGCAAATGGCAGGACCCCACAGATATGTGCAAACATTGTATCATTAAACAAAAGAAGTAAGAATAAATCTGACAAAACCATAGAGCTACCCCCAAAGAAAATCTTACCAATACATACAAAATATTCTCGCATACAGTGGACGATATCCCAGGACCACTTGAAGCTGAAGGTAGAAAAAGCTGAGGTAAAAAAATTTGGATCCTGGATGGACCCAACCCTGTTACCTTAGAGAAGGCCTTGTTCTATATGAAGTGATCCTGCTTCTTAGAAGGGAGTCGCCATCTTTAGAGGACGTGTCTATCTGGAGAAGAAAGAGCACAGGAGTGAAGCTTGAATTAAGAGGCCTAAAATCACCAAGACCCCAAGAAAGAACACAAAGGTTTAAGGTGCTCATGAAAATGAACCCAATGTTTAAAAGGCTGATGTCCCACGGTCCTTTAGGACAGAACACTTTTAGGAAATCAAGTCACAGAAGTGAGGAATACAGAGTTTGACAATCAGAGCTGATTTGGTTAAACATTCACACATGGCACTTTGCCTGGCACAAATAGGCAGAAATGACTCAAACTCCCTCTGGGAGCATCACCATCAGGTACACATGGGAAACAGGGCTCAGGCCTTGCCACCTGCCAGAAAAAAATACACAGGCCCCCTTTAAGAGCAAGTACACTCGCCGAGTCCTCACTCTTCCTTATACCAAACACACTAATATACCTGTAACCCATATTACAGAATTTTATGTAACTTCCAGAAAGCTGTTTGCCTTACCATTTTGTCTTATAGATAGTTCACCATTCATTGTTCATTTTTGCAGTTTTCGTTTAGTATTTCATAGTCTAATTTTTTTCATATCTTGAGTCATTTCCCTGGATCTATAAAAGATTTGTGAGGCTGAAGCATAAGGCCTTTTATTTATTTATTTATCTGTTTACTTATGGGACAGGGGTTTGAATTCAGGGATTCATGCTTACAAAGCAGTCACTCCATCAATTGAGCCACACCTCCAGTCCATTTTGCTCTGGTTATTTTGGGGAATGGGGGTCTCATGAACTATTTGCCCAAGCTAGGCTTGAGCCATGATCCTACCAATCTCAGTCTCCCAAGTAGCTAGGATTACAGGTGTGAGCCACTAGCACGCAGCAGCATAAAGCTTTGTAATGCCCATTTATAAAACAGTCTGATCAATTCAATGCTAAGCATTTTGCTCAGACTAAACATATTAAATCCCAACCTATGATTCACCCTACACTTAAGTGGCAAGGTACAGCATCATATTAAGCTGTCAGAGACACATAACACAAAACCAGAACAGACTCCCAGATCTTCCTGTCCCCTGCTGAGGACAAGTCCTTCCAAATCCCCAGGAGAGACCTCAGGAATGACTGCCCCTGATGAGAATTCTAGAGAGAGCTTCACGGGAAAATGAGCAGAATCAGGGAGGAAAGAGGGATTGACATGAGGGAGAATTTATTTGGAGGGCCCAGGAAAATTGTTGCAGAGAAGACTCCCCAGCTCTTTTTTTCCCTTTCCCTCTTCCTTTCTGTTTCAGAAACTTCCTTTGGAAATTTTTACACTCACAATTTCCACTTCTCATCCATCGCTGAACCACACCGATGTCTGCCTTCTATGTTCTGCTCCTCTGAAATGTAGTCCCCAAGCCCCAAGGCAAATGACCCTTCAGTCTGCATCTAATAGGACGTCTCTATAGCACTGACCCTCCCTGCCCTCCCTCTGGATTCCAGGGACGAGGGTCAGCTGCCATTTTCTAGCTCTCTCGGTACCCCACCCCAAGTTTTGTCTGTAAGCACTGTGCCATTCTGCCCTCAAGTGCCTCTTCAATCCTCCCTGTCCTGGTCCAGCAGCATCTGGGACTTCTGACCAGGTCTGAGCTGATTGTGATCAGAAACTTCTCCTATGGCCCTTGCAGACACCCCCTCCTTCATAGGCAGGAGACACAAATCACAAAACCTCTCCCTGGTGAAATGCACAGGTGCCCTAGACTCCCAGCTTTGGCAGCTTTGGGGAGCTCCCCCAACTTGGGCCAGGGAAGAAAGTAGGACAGACTCTCCCCTCGCCCATATTCTTGTGAGGAGGGCTCTGTTCTACACGTCTCTGATGTGGTTAAGAGTACAATAAATACTTGTGGAAGAGAGAAAGGAAGGAGGGAAGAAAGGCATCTACCCACCCACTTACCACCATCTTTGCATTAGACACACAGGGCTCAATACCTTGCTTAGAATAAAAGGAAGCAAAGAAACAATACGAGTACTGAGTGTGGGGTGGAGAATAGGAACACAAGGGAAAGCCATCATTGGGGTGTAGAGATAACCAGGAATCAAACAGGAGAAGATAGATCCTACTTCAGGAGTAAGACAAAGGACTCATGTCCACATGGCTGGTGGAGGACTTAGGAGTGAGAATGACTCTGAGGAAAGAGAGCAATAGGAATAGAACTGGTGACTGAGAACTGCTAATGGCAAAAGGAGGACTGAGCAAATGAAATTCCCTTATTCAGAAGCATCTGATCCATGTCCAGTGTGATTTTTAAAAATGGTTTATAGTAAAATCCAAAATACATCTTTGGAAAACATCAGCAATAAGAAAGTCACTGAGTTAGTCCACTGTTATTTTTCACATAAAATAAAACAATGAAGGAAAGGAAAAGAACTAACTCACCCAACAAATTAATAAGCCATAACATACTGTTCCCCTCTTTTTTCCTTAGGGACACCATGTATGACATGTCCTGGACTGGCCAATGTCCTCTCCATAGCTGAGGTCCGGTGACACAGATGCTGATGCTCCACCTCCTGGGGCACTCAGCAGGGACCTCAGTGACTAGAGGTCTAGGGTTAGTCACCCCAATCTCCAGCAGCCTGTTCACTCACTGTAGTGCACTCTAGCTTTAGGTGACAATCATACAAAAGAGCTAGCAGTTGCGAAGATAGCCCAAGAATGACTCCCATCACTCTTTGATGATCATGCCATATCTGGGAACGTCTATACACCAAAACATGCTGCCACAGCAAATGAAGCCCACATACAAAGCTATTGTTTATTAAACATAAAATAAAATCACACATTTGAGGCATATAGCAATTTCCTACTTGTATAGTTAGTCCCCTTGCCAAAACTCATATTGAATTGCCAGTGTAGCAGTGGTGGGGACGGGCCCTTTAAGAGGTGCTAAGAGATTAATGTTGCCCTGGCAAGACCGTGCTCATTCTCACAGGAGTAAGTGAAGTGTTCTTTCTTGAGAGTTGCTTGTTACAAAGTAAGGCCATCCTGCTATTTACCTCCTTCCCTCACACCCACTTGCCCTTCCACTGACCTGCTATTTTATGAGGCATCACAAGGCCTTCACCAGATCCAGCCACCTGGTCTTGAACTTCCAGCCTCCAGAACTGTGAGCTAAATAAGCTTCTACTATTTATAAATTAACCACTGTCTGGTATTCTGTACTGAGACACTACTGGACTCAGAATGAAAAACTTCAACATGAATTAAATTACAAAATTAGAAATTGTGAACAAGATTGACAATCAATATATTAGTCCCCACAAAAGCCTCCCTTCCAGGAAAGACTGACTTTATCCAACTTCCTGTCACTCTGCAAGAAATTCCTTGCTCAATGCAATGCAGGAAAAGTGACAACTGGGAAAAAAGAGGCTGTCCCAAGACCCCAAGCATTTTTCTCTACAGCCCAGTGCAGGGGGAGGGGGATTGCATTTATGACAACATTGATTTATTAAATACTTTCTTATTAGTGAGGAATTTCCCACAATCTTGAGGAATTCCCTTCTTGTTCTTAAGGAATTCCCCCACATTGTAAGTCTTGCCTTCTAGGATAGAAGCCAGGTGCTGACAAAGTCCACAGTGGCTCATGCCGATTCTAGCTACTCAATCTCCCAGGCTCCTTCTCTAGCCTTCCCTGCCAGCTTTTTCCACCTTATGAGGAGTCTTGAGTATGCACAAAAGTAGATACCCCAGTCCACACATCCAAGTCCACACCCCTCCACACAGCCTTACCTGAATGTCCACAAACCAAACAGGCACCCAGATATGGAGTTCACGGTGGCTACCCAGGAAAGAGACCTGCGTAGCCCTAGAATTGGAGCCCAGGATGTTCTCAGAGATAATTCTAGGGGTCCCAGGTACCTGAAGTAGAGAGGGGTATTGGTGGGCAGGTCCCCAGTGAGCACATCCTCTTAGCCTCACAGGTACCTCAACATGGAGATGTCAAGTTGGGTTGCTGAGCAGAGCCCTCCAAAGGACAGGCCTTGGGTCTACCAGAAGTTGTAAAGAGCCAAACCTCAACAGAAACCCAAAAAGATGAGTAGACAGTAAGAGGTGGTTCTTTGTCTTTCCAGGGACCTGACGGAACCAACCTCAAATTTGAAATTTGTAAGGAAATCTTAACCATACATAGTCCATTATCTGCTGTTATTACAGAATACCTCAAGCTAGGCAATTTATAATTTATGTGGCTCATGGTTTTAGAGGCTGGGAAGTCCAAGATCATGGTGCCAGCATTTCGTGAGGGTCTTTGTCCTGTGTCATCCCATGGCAGCAGATTATGGGCAAGAGAGAACAAGGCTGAGCTAGCAAGAGACAGCTGAGCTCACTTTTATAACTACCCCACTCCTGCAATAATGAACTCACTTCCCCGATAATAACATTAATCCGTTCATGAGAGTGGAGCCCTCATAACCTACCTACCTCCCATTAGGCCTCACCTCCCAGCACTATTGGATTGGCGATTAAGTTTCCAACACATGATCTTAGGGGACACATTCAGACCTTAGGGCATACTTTCCTCATTTCCACCTCATACCTATGTACTCTTCTACCTTTCCATAGAATGCCTCATAAAGACAGGTACAGCATCATTTAATGCAATTTTCATCTCAAATATTAATTGATATGCATATATGTGCAGATGTAATATAACAGAGGAATATTCAGAGAATTAGGCTCCAAATAGTTCGCCCATAAGTGGACATGAATGACTCCCTGGTAAAAGGCAAGGGTTAAAATGGTCCTTAGCGTATGAAATGTCACAACCTACTTGTTCTATTGAAGGTCAGCGGAAATGCAGAATGGGTTATGGTACTGAAATTGTGTCCATATCTATGATGTTCTTCTGTTAATCATTACAAGTATTCAAACAGGTAATCCAAGTTGGGTGTAGTAGCCCATAGACTTGGAGGTTGAGGCAGGAGAATCACTCAACTTCCAGATTATCCTGGGCTGCATAGTGAGACCGTATCAGAAAAACTCAAAAATAAAAAAAGTCCTCAA